GCTTAAAGTCATTTGCAAATTGAAAACCATTTGCCACATTAGACCTTACTTGTAAAATACAAACACACAGATGACCCCCTGACTGGTAGTTCAATTCCAAATGTATTGTTGATGTGTCCTTGGGCAAGACACTTACTTGGTGTGAGTGGTGGGCTTTATAGTTGTGAGTAATGCTGTAGCTCAGAATGGCAGCTACCCATCTGTCAAACTGTCCTGGGGCAGTTGCAAAAACAGAGACAATTCTAAGAAATGCAGGAGTGCAGTGAATAATGCATTAATTATGTTGCTTAATGTTGTGTAATAAAGTTCAGGTGAAAAATAAATTAGAAAAAATGAGTAAAATTTACAGAAATTGGAGTTTTACTATTACTTAGCCTATTTAGTAATTAAATGTTTACATTTATTTCCATATGTGTCTCTAATGTAAACGGCAATGTAGACTTTCCCTTTATAGAGGTCAAAATACATTCACCAGTTTGCATTTTGATTTAAATAACAGCTGCATCATGTCAGGCTCTTTGGTTAGCCATACAACTAAAATGACAAGCCCTATAGAAAATAAACACAGCTTTTAATTAAAATCTGGAAAAAAAGGATGCCTCCACACTGGATATTTCTGCTTTGCACATTATAATTTGATGGAAAAAGGCGTAATTCAATTTTTACATTTTACATTATAATTTGAGTAAACGTTTATTAACATACATAATTTTACTGCCATCTTGTAAGACAGTGGAAGCTAAACTGGAAGTCTGGGTGTTATATTTATGGAAAACTATAGCAATTGATAGGAAGACGCCCACTTCTGGCTGTCGCACTAAATCAGACATGGTTTAGAAAATGGCTGGAGGCTTGATTTCTCCACAGGGATCAGGTCCACAAATAAATCTATGTGTTGACTGACAGAAGGGTGAGCTGATGTGTTGAAAGGCAGTGGATGGAAATAGGCTTCTTAGGCTCTGACTGTTGAACAAAGAGAAAGAGAGATACAACTGTTTCTATTATAGATCAGTGTAACTATCATTTTGACAGCTGCATTTTGGGCCAACAAAATTGTGTTAGAGGTGAGTTTCATTTATACAATGTAACAGACAACTTGAAGAGCAGTTTGTAAGTCTAACTGTCACTTGTTTTTTAAGACTTTATTTGACATATGTGACACAAGTATCTACCATTACTTTCTACTTTTTAAAGCTGCCTTTAAGACTAAACCAACCAACAGTTCTTTAGTTCAAATAAACTCAGAGATGCTAGAGATTTATAAATGTCCATTCTCCTTTTTCATTACCTCAAATTGATTAAACTTGATGGCTTTTTTTGGTTTTATCTCACTCATTGTGACACCCAGTGTGGTCCTTGGCTGCTGTGTCCCACCTGCTTTGGGATTTGTTACATTGTGTGATCACAGTTGGTCCTCTGCGTAGCACTGGGTTGACCAGGTGTAAAGTGGGGATATCTTTTTTGTTTCTTTATAGCCTTTAGTAAGTGTATAAAGTTAACAAATATAATCTTGTTTTCTGCAGCTCTATGCCACAAACCCCCTCACTACTGTGATTGAAAAGACAGATTTAACCAGCTCCAGTAAAGTGTGAGCTCTCAAAAGAAGCACATGGCCTCTTGATGGCAGTAAAAAGCTACTTTGTGATTAATATCTAATAAAAATGAAGCTACCATCTAGGCTCCTGGAAAATTATTTTTGGCATATCACCCTCTCCACAATACAATTATCATGTACCTTATTTTGTAAAGATAATACAATAAGAAAATGTTAAGTGAAAAAGTGTTTATTAATATAAAGATTTACATAATTTAATAGCAAATATTACTATAATTTATTCCATTGCTTACTTCATCAGTGCAGCGCAGCACTTACAGTTACCTGAATTGTCTTGTTACTTCGACCCTGCAACCTCTGCTACAGTACCAACATACAACATTCAACAAGACAGACTTTGATTTGAACAGGACGCATTAACAATAGGAAATGTGTCAGACTCTAGCTACACATTTAGTGAAAAGAGAAATAAAAAAGAGGTTAACTGGTTGTATCATAATATCTTTAAGTGGTGGAATTAAGAGCACCGGAGAACAGAGGTTGTCAAACTTTGTTCAAAATAGTTTGTACCATAGTTTGAAAACCACTGAAGCAGAGAATAGAAAAAAAATTATCAACTTCGGAACAAGGTAGTGCCATTCATTTACACGTGGGACATTCATAAATATTTGATCCAAACCTTGAGTCAACTTTGGTTAATAATAGACACAGACTTCTTAATGCACTTCTGATGCACTGATTAGAGAAGACGGGGGTGGATAGTCACATAGGAAAAAACAGTCTCTAGTCATTTTTCATGCAACTTTCAGATGCACATCACTTCATGCATAGATCCCACCAACGATTGTGTATGTATCATGGGAAGACCGACCGTACAGAGCAGGCAGATTGTCCCAAATGTTACTCGTCATTATCTGTAAGAGAAATGATAGAGAGACAGATTGTGTTTGTATGTAAACAGAACTACAGTCTCTAATTGAGGTCATAAGCAGCAGATGCTTCAGATAAAAATAAAATAAAATTCTAATGATTTGGCTATAATAAGCAAGCGTGTGTTGCAGCAAAAACAAATTCTCAAAAAATCTTGTTACTAGTCACTTCAGTTAGTCCAAGTCAAAATGCTTTCATCATTCATGTTCATGCGTTCATCTGTTCTGTCCCTCACAAAATCCAACTGAAATCAACAAGGCAATACATGTAGACTGAAAACAAATAATGATGATTAATAAGCCTGACAAAACAAAGTATATTGTGTGTTTTTGCTTTCCCATTTCTTCAGAGAGTGCTTCATTTGCATACTCTTTTATGCATACTATTGTGACAAACAAAAGTAAAAATAGAGGCACTGACTAAAAAACTAGTGCCATCCAAAGAGAATTGTCAAATATTCAAGAAACAGTTCTGCTCTTATTGTTCATATTGGACAACTGACTCGACTGGGTGCGCTAAAATATGAACAAGTTTCTATCATGTTTCAGAGTATTTTATGTCTATTTGACCCCTTTTAATGTACAAAAGTTGTGCCAACACAAGGCGGTGGGTAAGTGCTCTCAGCTTTAACATTATGTCGGAAAGCTAAATCTGAACACTAGACTGGGAGAACCAACTGAGCAATCTTTGAAGACTAAACAAAAAACACAAAAAAAACGTGAACTGGCTCCCATAATACGGAATACATTTCAAATTTAAGATGATTATTGTGTGTTTAAATGGCTCTGCAAAATTCAAGTTGTAGCTAATTTAATTCTATGCATCATATACACCCCAACGTCTGAAGCATTTGTTCAAAAGTTTCATTTTGAGTCTGACCTTCTTGGTATGCCCCATCAGCCATGACCAGGTGCAGGATGTTGGGGTAGAGGTGCTGGTGCTCTGTTCCCAAAATGTTTAGGACCAAACTGGAGCCAAGGTCGATGTTCTCATCTTCATCTTCATGTATTGCCTTCAATAAGAGTGAAAACAGGCCGATTATCGGTATGTGATTACAGACAGTGAATGTCTATGAGAATGACATATACTGTACCTTGATCTTGTTGTAGGCCTCGATGAACTTCTCAAAGCCCATCTGCTGCTCCAGGTTGAAGCGCAGCTCCTCCAGTCGGCTGAAGATACTGTCTTGATGCTGAGGTTCACTGCACTGATCCTCATTACTGCCATCTACAAACACCAAAGTTTGAATTTAATACAAGTAGCATCAACAAATTATTATTTTACTTGCATTTACTGTATTGTTTAACCAATTTCCATGTATAAGAATTTATGCAATTTGAATGTTATCCTTGATGTGAGGACATTTATGTGATATACAAACTAAACTGTATAAATAGTCTATTGTATGTCAGTTGTGATTAAATATTAATTCTGTGCTCTACAAAGATCTTCCGAAGATTACATATTTCAACAGGCTCTCAAATGTGAATGATCTTGGATGGGATTAAATTTCATGATCTAATCACAACTCCAATATGTCCCAAATCAGGATTCGATTTTTAAAAAGAAATCTTCAGTTCAAATAAAGATCTTGCTCTCACCTGATTGCCACTCTTCATTGAGCTGCACGTCGTTGCCGTGACTCCCTCCTTCCACTCCGTTACTCAGCAGCAGCCCCGCATCCTCCTCGTCGCCCGGGCTACCATTTGAGCCTTCATCCTCCTCTTCATCTTCCTCCTCCTCTTCAACCTCCTCATCCTCGTCATCATCCACAGCCATCAGATTGTTGTGCTCCATCTCAGCAGCGATCCTTTGGAAAAGCTCCTGATGTTGCTGTACATTATCAGGAGGGTTCCCGTTAAAATCGCCCGCTCCCATCTCGCCCAGGTCACCCTCCTCCTGCAGCAGTCTCTCCATCGAGGCCCGAATGTCCCGCAAGTCCTCATCCTCATATGCACTAAGGAACATGGTGTTATTGATGGTAGTTTGGTAAAAGCAATGCAACTAGTGTAAATGTGTGTTTTTTTGCTTTTCAAAGAATGGCCACAAAAAATGCAAGGTTTGGTTGAAGGATAAACATGCATAGTAATTTATTAGTATTACTATAGTAATACATTTTTCAATTCATGTAGTAAACTTAAATGTAATGCATTTGAAAGTACTCGATAAGAACGTTATGGGCAACAGTGTACATTAACCCCTATGCATTTGATGATAGTGTAGATGTCATGTATTGTTTCTTACTCCTCCAGCTCAGACTGGTCGTCATCCTTAGCAGTCTCCTCCAGGTCTTCTATCTCCAGGTTGTTTTCTGGGGCCACGTTTGCGTTACTGTGCACCTCCACGTCTCGCTGTGAGCTGGAGAAACGACTGAGGTCCGGTAAGGAGCATGTCCGCAGCATCTGACAGCCACATGAGCAAATGCATAGATTAGAGTAGGGATTATAAACCTTTTTGACCTCAGAACTCGATATTTTCTGTAAAAAAAACTTGGAACTCAATCTCATATTAAATGTATTATATTGTTCTGATTTCACGGATGTTACGTGGGTCCCTTATGTTGGTCCCTTAAGTGGGTGCACTTTGGGCCCCGGCACATTAGAGTTTTGTGAAAGAGGTGGAAGTTATAAGTCATAATTCTATTTTATATTTTACTATAGTACAACAGTCACACTATAGATGTTTTGACCCGAGAGGCTTTAATGTTTAACATGCTTACTGGACCTATCCACATCAAACAAAAACTGTCAGCCCAAATAAACTAGTTGAAGCATTTTCTTGTTTTTCATAAGCGGTAGCATTATTTGTTTTCCGATGAAAGGGCTTTAAGCCAAAGGTTAATGGCCAATATGACTGTGGACATAATCAACAAAACAATGTTAATCATCTGGATTTGTTTGTCTCAAATTGCCCATTGTGTTCCTACCTAAAAACAATGGCATGAGCATTCTCTCCTTTTGGCATTTTCAACACCTCTAAGTGTGCACAATTTCCCAAAATAACTTAGTTAGCGATATTAGTTTGATGCCCTTTGAGATGCAATTTTCTCAATCTATCAGCATTTAGACTTGATAATATGATGGCTACTCAAATAAAACCATGATGCTCTAAAAATAATGTGATTTCCATTTTATTGCTATGATCATTACAATGTACCATCAGAGGATCTGCAATTCAAGTTATTTTAAGTTTTGAGTCACATCTGTTTAAGATCAGCCAATGCAAAATGACTCGTAGCAGTCATCTTGGCTGGGTTAATTACAAAACTACAATTGATAAGGGTAAATGCGTGATTACACACTGATTTACACTTGGTATGTGATTAGATAACAAATGAATGGCCTCATTGCAAACAAGTGGTGTGTTGTAGTGTTGAGCAAAGCTGACTAACATACTAAATGTAAAGTATCACAAGAAACACATCAGGAGCTAATGTAACTAGTTTAAAAAGACATGCATGTATGCAAGTAAATGTGCAGGTGATAGATTCTGACACACTGAAACTGAGACAAATGAGATGCTTCTTCAGTTCCTCTTCAATTTTTCAGTAATTAAACTCATTATGTGGCATTATTGGTAAATGTGGCTATAAAAAGACTATAATATTCCACTTTTCACCACGCATCGAGAGCCACAATAACTTGGATCTCAAATCAGATCAGAATTTAGCTAATTTCAGATAGTTTGTTTGCACATTTGCACGGTAAGTTTCCTCCACTTTCAAGTTCTTTGCAGCACAGTGAGAAAGCTGTGTTAGGTTACGGTCATATTGGTTCAGAGTTTGAAGTTAAAACAAACCTGGATATTCTGTACTCTAGTGCAGATGTAAATTCTCTCATTGCTGGCGAACGTTTGAACTTACTTTTTGGCTGCTCAAGATGAGATTTGAACCATGACATGTCATTTGATCCACTTAGATTACAACAGACACTGGTGTCCTTGTTCCTGGATTTGTCATGCAAGCCCATGTAATAAAGGACAAGGGTTTTGTACATCTCAATGCCCCTAGTGAATGTTATGAAAGATATAGGTTGATGGATAGTGCTTCTGTCCCATCAGACCCTCTGCAGGTTTAGACTTGTGATTAATTGCACTGGCTCCACTCCAAAGCCCCTCGTTAATAAAGAAGAGAGAAATTCAACCCAAAAATACCACACATGCTGCTGCACATACACCTAACACAGGACTAATTTCCTGGAGCTCGGTAACATCCGCTCTACAGATCGAAGAACATCCAACACTGTCATGGCTCAGAGACAGGCCTGTGATCTCCACTTAATGACTTCTTCTCATCATGATATCTAATTACCAGGGTGAACTAAAATGGATAGTACTCCATATATGAAATATCTGGAAGCCTTTTGTGATAGAATGAACATACAATAAGTCAGAAAGAGTCCTTTGAAATAACTGTTGTATATATATTAAAATATACACCATTGAATTGAACACATTTGATTTATAAAAACAGAATCCAGTCAGAATGCTTATACAGGATAAGTTTCTAGAGAATCCTATCCAGAACCAAACCCAGGACAGATGGAATGGGTGTTCTACATAACATGCTTGGAACTAGATATTTTGCTGTAGTGACCACAAAAGGGAAGAGCCAAAAGACAAGGAAAGTTAGCCATATTTTCAAATATGAAAATGTCCATAGCACAGGAGGCCATAATATTATTTCAGATTACACAAAAGTGTCATAAGGGATAAGGCTATAATTATAGGTGTTATTTGGACGGGGTTACCTTGGGGTTGTTGGCGTCAAACATGCCTGTGGAGAGGCCTATAAGGAGGGAGTCATGGTGTTTGGAGCGCAGAGGTGAGACTGAGCGAGAGCGAGAGGCCAAAGAGGATGAGGATTCATCCACAGACGACTGAGCAGAGAGCAAAGCCAGGGCAGCAGTACGACGGTGGACTGGTGAACACAACTTCATAAACAATGGCTCCTCGCTCTGCAGCACTCCTAAGACGAACAAGAGGGCATTCATGATTGTAATAAGCCCCAAGACAAAGAGGACACTCTCACAGCAAATTCATCTCACCAGCCACTGCTGCTGGTTTCTCCACAGGCTTCTCACCATCAAATTGGTTTCGTGGGCTTGCATCACCACCTGCTGGCCTAGAAAGGAAATACACATGCATTATAAAATTTTGCTTATAGCGCAAAAATTTCAGACGATAAATCACCCAAACCACTTCACTGTGTTATCATTTCCTCTATCCAAACTATTAATACAAATCATCTATCAAGATTTCAAATGAACACATTTGTCAAGTACAATTCTATGTTATGTGTATTTAAAGCTGACAAATGAAAGTAGACAGTGAAAAATATAAAATAATGAGATATTACAGTGAGAACAGCATGTTCTTTATCACAGAATTTTGATTCAGCTCTGACTGTAATAATAACTCACAGAGGCAGTTGTACTTCCTGTGCCCAGGCCTGCTGCACATCAGCTGGAGGAGGTTCAAATGGCTTTGGCTGTTCCTCCAAAACTAATGACTCCACATCTGCTGGGTCTGTAACACAAACAGATTGGATTAAACAGCCCAAGATTGAGAAAATAAAAGATGACATTGGCTCACTCTAACCCTGTGTGTCTGTGAGGTTTGCTGGCAGTACTACTGTGCTGTCCTGGCTGGCCTCAGTGGCTTCCTCATGGGAGACCTGTGTTGTAACAACACACTCCTTCTGAACATCTGGGCTCTGAACATCCACATCTGGATCAGGGTCAAGGGTCAGCGCATCTTGGGGTGTCCGTATCACTTCAACTGCTACAACCTTGTTTGGTGAAACTGAAGAATAAATGTAATGTAAACAAATGTAATTATGTGTTCATAAGGATTTTATGACAGATGCACTGATGTAAGTCAAATGCTGAATGTGTAAATGTTCACCTTGCATTAATTGAATCATTTTTAAATATGTTTTAATTAATACATTATTTATAATATTACTGACATTTCAAAATTTGTCCTTATTTTTTCCTATTTAAGTTAAATTCAAACCTCACATTAAACTCAAAAGTCATGGGTGTACTTGCCAAAAAACAGATTATATAATTTAAAGAATCCTTGGCCAGCTACATGTCTTATTTCACACTATGTCAGAATGATAACAGGTTAAAATGGCTGAAAACACCTTCAATGTGAGAGTTAAGTGCCAATTAACACTAAATTACATTCATTGCGGAGAGGAGGTGGCAGTATGATAAATAAGTGACAGACAGGGTTCTATAAAAATAAGAATCTGAATTTTTAAAAAGGTCTTATTCCACCCTGGTTTATGTAAGAAAAAATAATAATCTAATGAACTCAAATGCAGTTTTTAGTTCTCTAAGTTACACTGATCGAACAAAGCTTTAGTTAACAAATGTGTGTACCACTAATGGAGAGGTCTCCCTCGCAGATGCTGGCGTTCTCCAGTTTCTGAGTGAGAGGCTGCAGTTCTGCTTCCTGGAGGATCTTCAGAACCTGAGGATCAGGATTCACTCCCCACACTTTTCTAGGGCCCTCATCTTGAAGGACATTTACTTGAGAAAAGTCATCAACTGTCTGGTCTGAGGAATTAGATCAAGGACAAAATAAAACAGTATTAATATTATATAAAATATTTTATATTAAATCTGTAAAACAATATTAAAAGATGGGTTTGCCGATATTTAGACTATGCATTAAAGTGACATATTTCAAGCAGTTAGTGAGTAATAACCAACTTAATACACTGAAAAAGGGGTTTTCAATACTTGAATAAATGTTTTGCCATAGACTGTATACATAAATGGACATAGCTAACCCACTAGCATTCCAAATATAACTAACCTGCTAGCATTCCAAATCGGACATGCTCATGGAAGAGCTTCTGGTTCCATAGACTACATTTCCAATTGACTTTACATTGAAAAATTGTCACCCCTTTCTCCGTTGCAGTGAGTCTGGTAGTTTTGGCCTTAAATTGTTCATATTAACCCGCTCTACATGATCCGTGTGTATTTAGCTATTTTCTCAGGCTGCAAATTCTATCCTATAAACTACCAGCCTTGTGAGTTTCATTTAACTGGAGCTGAACGCTATGGGTGACGTCAAACTCCCTTAGTCCACTTCTTTATACTGTATCTTGCCCTACGATGGAATGTTGTGTAATGCTTTGGCTTCACATTTTAAATAAACAGCTGTAATGCATTCATGAACTTGTATAATTAATAAGAAGAAAACCACTCACCAATGGTGGTGATACAGGTTTCCCCTAACGTCTGAGCTGCAGGAAGGATAAGTGGAACTTCGGCATCCCACTTCTTCCTGTCGCCTCCGGAGTGCGGCCGTTCCTCTGGAGATTCAGTGAGGGCTGATAAAACACACAACTATTACTGTTTCGATCACATACCAGACAAAGAATGGAATGAACTTTGAACTCACTGGTTGCAGTAGTGGCACATGTTTCAGTGAAAATGTCTTTTACAGGGAGCTCAGGCACTTGGGCTGCATCCCATTTCTTCCTCTCTCCGTTGGAAGATGGCCGCTCCTCAGTCACAGGGTGCGAAGGAGGTTCAGCACTGATGGTCTCTTCTACCTCCTCCACCAAGCTATGGGCCTTTAGATTATCATTCAGTCTGCGCAGGATCTGCTTTTTCTCACGCTACAAAGAGTCAGTACATTTTTGCATATTATCAAACCAAATTATGATTATATTATTACGACAGTCCAACATGGAGATTCCACAAAGACAAAACATCTTTTTTATTTATCTAGAGAAACAAAAATCTATCATTTTGAAATATTGCCTTTTCTGTTCAGTTTTATTTTGTTATTATTTATATTACAAATGCATTTATCATTTTGAGACCAGACCAGTGATCAAGAGCTACAAATCATTACTTCACACATTTATTATTATTATAAATGTAGAAAAAATGCATGTGTAAAAATGTTAAAAATTTTCTTTAGGTACAAAATTTGGTTTATTTTTGTAAACCAACATCACTGCTAGATAATCTCATGTGATCTTTCTAAATCTGAAATCGTCTTTACACTCACCTGGGTGGCGAGAGCGCCTTCTGCTTCGGCTGCTGTCTCTTTCAGTGATACCATCTGTTAAACATGTCAAGTCATATTAAGATGACCAGAGGGAAATATAATGTTTTGATATGTTTTGATGTGAATATGAACGTGTACTGACCGCTCCGACATTGTGAAGGGCAGCGGTCATGGATATAGCTGGTGGTGAGGGAGAGGAGGAGGGCAGTGCGGGCTCGGGCTCACAGGGACCAGCCGGAGGAGCGTCTGAACCGGAGGAGGTCTCTATAGTACTGGACGCAGTGGGGCCAACCTTCTTCCCCCGTGCTGCCAGCTTCACATTTCAGAACACACAATAGGCACTATATAATTATTCATTATCCAATGCATACTTAAAGAGGTTAAAGTTAACATTAATTGTTAACAGTTCTCAGACATACATGTTTGCATTTGTCATAGAGCCAACCCCAACAGCACTCCATTTACTCAACTAAGTGACAAAACATGCAGGATTCACAAAGCCAGAAGTGAAACAGACTGGACTTACATACACCTCCCATGCGTTCTTCTCTCTCTCATGGGCCTCTCTTCTCTTCTTCTCCAGCTGTTCCTTCAGGACAGCGGCACGGGCATTTGCTTGGGCCTAATCCAAGTCAATACAACAGTTCAATGACTGTGTCCAATCAAGTCAAATCATGACCTGCTTCTTAATAGTGATTAGAATAGTGATTTGACATAACTTTCAAGCTGCATTTGCTCAATCAGCAAGAAACATATATACACACACTAGTTGGTCAAATTGTTCCACTGGATTAAGAAAATGCCAATTTACAACAATAACAATCTTGAAAGCAGGATCTGACTACAAGTCTTTCCTTGATACCAACAATACAATACATATATACAATAATATACTAGTTTATTAAACATATAAATATATATATAAAAAAAATGAACAAAGTGTAGACAGACTTGTTTATGTGCAACTGCAAAAAACTGACCTTCACAGCTTCAATCTTCTTCCTCCGGAGCTCCGCCTCCTCACTTGACTCTTGACTGTCTGATCCATCGCTGTCATACTGAAACAGAAATTAAAATGTAAGTCAAATGTCAGAAAGACTGAGGAACTGGAGCAGTGATTCTCAGGTCTAACTGGACTGTACCTTTTCTCCTCTGAGCCGCGCTTTGATCTGCTGCCGTTCGTTGAAGTTCTGCAACCGAATCTGCCTCAGCCGCGCCAAGTACTCCTTAGAACAAATGCACAACTGTTAGAAATATTCACAAAACAGTGCCCAAACTATGATGATACCATTGCAATACAAAATGCAAGCAGGCAGACATATACAGGGTCAAAAGAATAAGAAATATCACAACTGGATGCACCTGGATGTAGCAATTGATTATGTGAGGGTATAAACCAAAACAATGAAAACAATGGAGTTTACGGTAAATGACAAGAAGCATCTTTGAGCATTAAGTCTGGTCAGTCACTTTTTTTTTTAATAAAGTCTGGGAATGTACAAAATAAAATCAAGCCCATGTTTGACTTGACAGAGGGAAGAGCTTGATTCAACTTTTCATGTGCTTGATTTCTAAGCACATTTCCTGCTCATCTTTGCACTGTCAAACCTTCTTTTTAAATCTGAGATAGTGCATACATTTACTCCCATTTAATGCTTCCCTGAAAACTCAATTTAACAGTGACCAGACTTATTTCTTTATAAAAGTGGATGGCTGACCAGTCTAATCTTGGAGGGACCAAACAAACTCTGTAATGAAACATACTGAGGGTTTGAAAGGGTTTGGGTCGAGTTATGAACATGAGCCAAGCCAGGAGTGCCATGAGTGGGACGGGGTGATGGGGAACAGGCCTGGACTCCTACCTCCTCTTCTTTGTTGACCCGAGGTCTCCTGCAGCGGACAGAACCAGTTCGACTTCCTAAGATGGCTGCCAGGTTTTGCCGCAAACCCTGTTTACCGTTCAGTTTAAAATTTCACTGCCACAATCACCAGTTATATTGCATGCCCTTTAGCCTTAACACCAAATTAGAATTTAAAAACTACAGTAGTGTTTAAAAGGAAATAGATAAGACTTAAAAATCCACAAGTGCCCCTTTTTGATGGACATTTATATGAAAACAGCCAGGCAAATACATTGGAAGCTACAGTGCGATGGAAAGATTTCAGATCATTGAGTCATGGTACATACCAGCTGTCCCTCAGCACGGACTTTGTTGATCAGGGCTTCTCTTTTTCGTTGTAAAAATTCTTCAACTTGAAAGGCACGTTCAGCAGGCACATGACCACGATGCCTAAAACATAAAAACATGTATTGATAAGAACAATTATAATAGTGTAATATACTTAGCAATACATTTATAGAAACTAGCAGATTGTTGTCAGTACTATTAACTCTTATTAACTCTAAAATGGCACATTACAGCACATTAACTATTTCTTCTATTTTACATACCAGATACCAGATTTTTGTACTGTTGGATGCTACATGATGAAGCATTGTAAGTCTTTTGACTAGCTGACCTATTGAGGTGGGCCTGCTTTGAACCATGCTGCAGCCTCAGTAGCTCCTGTTTGATAAGATCATGGTTTACTTTGTGAGGGCCATTGAGCAGCACTGGGCCAGCGGCAGGTGAGACACTAGTGACACAAAAGTAACATTTTAAATCTAAAGCACTATAATCCAAGAAAAACTAGGTATTAAATTAACTTACCCAACAACACTGCTTGCAGAAGATCCATCTCTGCTCACATCTTTTAACTTTGGTTTAGCCATTTGGTCCAGTGCTGCATGGTAATGATCATAAGAACTTTTGTTTTGGGTAGCAGCAGGGGAGTGTCCGGCGGCAGAGCTTGGGACATGACGAGGGCTGACAGGTAGAGCCCTTTTGGCACCACCAACGAAGCACTAAAGAAAAGAAGTGCATATACCACAGAATTATTATACAATATGTTTGGTTTCTCTTTTGAACCCTTTTAGACTCAATGGTTTTATCTGTAAATTAGAGGAAACATTATGATTATTATAATTGTTTTGCATGAAAACATGTCATGACACTTTAACCGCAAACTTTGCACTGAAGGGTTTGCTTTTCAGTTTTGTAGCATAGTGTTGAATGACAATTAAGTATTGATAAAATACACAGTACAGCACTACATGGAAAACACTACATAGATTGAACTATATTGACATTGTATACCTTCCTTTCTGGACTGCTTCCACCACTGGAACTCAAGACATGCTTCCAGCCCTGCTCCCTGGCCTGGTTTATCCGATTGATCTGTAACAAACACATCACATTCATTTATTATTTAGGCCCTTGATGGAGCTTACACTGTGTGAACGTAAGGACTTGCTTGGCCCATGAGAATGGAAGCCTGCCCACTCAGACCAATTAATTTACTTATAAACCACTTTCCACCAAAATCTCCCAGTATACGAATAACTGTTTATCTTTGGTATTGTTTATTTTTATGCTCCCTCTCTTTCATGCATATTTAATTGACTAATCTTAAAAGATATTTAAAATGACATACAATACATGTACAGGAAACAATGTAATTGTGATGTGCAATAAATATCTTTGGTACAACAATGTTTGAGAGATTTACATGTTCTGAAATTGCACAGTTATAACTCCATCCAAGACCCTTTAGAACTATTGATTGGCTAATGATTTCAGTGTTTGTGTTCTTTTAATCTATTAACACAACTTCATTACAGACAAGATACCTTTTCCTTTTCATATCTCTTCATTTGTTCTGCTTTCAACAGGAACATCTACATAAAAAGAAAAAGTAATTTAACAAGAACTTTTAACAGATTTACTGATAATATAAAACACCCACCTGCTCTCTCTGTTTTCTCTCCTTCTCAATCAGCTCCATCCTCTTTCTTCCTCATGCCTTCCTGTAAAGAAAAGCACTGCCGTTTAAAATAAACAGAAATACATAGACAAAGGAACTAAAGCTGTGTCACTGGACAGGGAAAGAGAAAAAAGTTATTCAACAAATAGACACACCGATAAAACATTCATTCAAACATATTAGGTGAAACACAAAATGAAAATGCTGGAATGTGTCAACATATGTCAAGGGAAGGAGATAAGATATATTATTTAACTATGGGCTCTTAGGTGTACCTCGTGCTTTTTTCTCTCTTCCTCCACTTGACTCACTCTCCTCTGGGGGGCTGCTGGGGGAGGGGCCTGAGCAACATACACAACACGGCGGTTCAGACATAACAAACACACCCTTTTCTTCAGACACACATGAACTCAGGCACTCATGGATGGAGCCTTTCACGTGCTACAGGACAGAGGAGGGTGTAATTAAATTGTGGGGAAAAGACCACAGACCAGTTTTTGTTTGACTGCTGGTTTCTTGTCCACAGCTTTCTTAGCAGCATCCGGCACCTTCTTCATGGTCAAAGGCACTCCGTATTTGCAGGCTGGTTTGGTGATCTTTTGGGCTGGAGCAAGTGGAATGGCACCAGGAGCAGGACGCTTAGCTAATTGCATAAAATAAGAAATATAATACTAGGGAGCCTGCTTGATGACGTGTGCAAAAAAGATACTAAATGTTACTATTTCGTTTCCACGCTTTAGGTAATTCATTCCCACATTTTAGCTAACTGTTGCACACGTCATCAGGCGGGCTCCCTATAATACAGTTAATGCATATATTATATAGTCTTTTACAGTGAACTTGTTAAGAAACACAAAGCACATGCTAATATGCAAAATGTTGCCAGAGCTATATTTCTCATTTTGTCATCTTAATAATCTTATTCCAGTTATGAGTTGGAGGTCTGGAGCCTAACCAAGCAACTATGGGTTTAAATTTAGAAACATAAACATTGCCCATATTACAATTAGTAAACAAGCAGCTAATTAGTAGCAGTATTTTACAGTTTGTGAGTGCTGAATCTCCAGGCATGAAATGCAAGATGCTGGGAATGCAATGTCCTCTATGATCAGCAAAACTGAAAATAACTAAATAAATAAAGTTCCCACCTGGCTGCCCCGGTCCCCCACTCGCTTTAGGCTGCTTGTGAATAAAGGTATGGTGAAATTCCTGAGCAATTATCTGAAACAGACAAACACAATTAGTGTTGGTACTATATATAAACCAAATAATTAAATGAATGTAATGTATGTTGTACCTGTGGTGTGAGGAAGCGCTCTATCCTGGATGAGAGGAAGGGTTTTTCTAGGATGATGCTGACGGAGGGCCGTTCTCTGGGGTTGCGTTTAAACAGCTGACCCAAAAGGGAGCGCAGTTCCAGGGAGTAATGCACAGACACCGGGGGGTACGAACCACGGATAATTTTCAGCACCAGGTTTTTCATATTTCCAGCTTCAAACTATAAAAAAGAAGAGTCACTAGGATCTGTGAGAAAAAGTGGAGGGACAGCACCCAGAACAATCCGTTCTGAATTTTAACTGGATGTTAATACTATAATACAATTTGTATTATAGATGTCTGAGTGTAAAGACTCCCTATTTTCAACTATGATATACATACTGTATGGTGTAACACAATGCTCTTGAGTCTGGGTTAGCAAAGTTGACACATGTCAAATAGTTTTAATCCCTTGTCACAGTACAGTAAAAAAAGGATAAAACCATTGAAGCAGTCGACACTGCAATGTTATATAAGATGGATTTACATTCATCTGCATCACTCAAACACCAATACAGACATACAATACTTACAGCATGCTTAAGAGTGCACATTTCATACAGGACACACCCTAGGGCCCAAATATCACTGCAGAAGGAGAATCAGGGAAAGTAATAGGTTACATACAAATGGACAAACAGGGAAAGGTTGTGGGGACACGTCATGCACACAAAATGTAATTTTATCATTTGTAAAGTATGAGAATCTTTCATGTGATTAAAAAGGGTAAACTGATCCTTTCAAAATTTTATTAGCATGAATTGCCTAATCAATAGACTAGAGATCTGATACGGTTAGGTTTACCAGAAAGCATCAGCTCAAATGGCACAAGTCAATTTTAACATGTAAAGCTATATAGACAGATGACCAGGAAACTAGCATGGTCAAATTAATGGTCAATAACTTAAGTACCTTTTATTATTGTAAGGTTTGTTTTCACAAATCTCTGGTGACAGATAATATGGTGTCCCAATGCATGTCCTTGCCAGCTCAACAGTGCTGTAATAAGAGAAGAACATCAATTGTATTAAGCTTTTACAGTGTTGTACTGGTCCTTCTAAACACCCTGCACATACCTATTGAGCACTCTCGCAATTCCAAAGTCACCAAGCTGAACTGTGCCATCTTTTGTTAAGAAAATATTCTGTGAAGATAAAAATAAGATAGCTTGGGTAAGATTTAGCAGAGGTTTTAAAAAGGTAAAAATAGTAACATCATATAGCTCAATTTATTCAACGATGTACTATCATACCTGTGATTTTATATCTCTGTGGAGTATTTTTCGGTCATGTATATGTTTCAGAGCCAGGCAGATTTGCACAAACCAGTCAAGGATCTACAAGAGGAGTAGCGGGTACAGAGCAGGATAAACACAATTACTGAAAGCATAATGAAGACAGATGATAACTTACTTGCGCCTCTGAAAAAAGCACTCCCTTCTGAGAATTGATTCTCTTAAAGAGATCTCCACCCTCACAGTAGGCCATGACAATGTACAGACAGCCACCCTCTGGAAATAATGTACATATTACACACTGCATAAAATCCATTACAAATATTTTTCAGTGGCATTTCACGCCAGTTATTATACCTTCAAAAGATTCCTTATATTGAACAATGTTGGGATGGCTCATGTTGGCAAGTACAGCAACTTCTTTTCGAGATTCTTGTCTCTCTTTACTTGACATCTTCATTGTAAACAACAGAGAAATTAGTACTTCATGCATACCAACATCAACATCTCTATGCAATGAAAAAAGGATTTTTACCCCAGATATGTTGATCTCCTTGATGACATATTGATGTCCATCTTCTTTTGATTTGACAAGAATAGCTTTTCCAAATGAACCTTCACCAATTTTCTTTACCTTTTCGTATTTGTCCATATTAAAGAGGTGAAGGATTCGTCATGCCTGGTCTGCGGGTGAAAAAAACAATGAAAAGCTTGGTTTTGACAGATGAAAAACCTCTCACTGGTTTGAAGCATGTATAATGCCTGTCTCGTTTTCTACAGCACTAGCATTGCAACTCTTACTTACAGTTAGGACTTGAAACAACAAATATAGCTTGGCATAAAAGAAAGAATGAGATGCTGCTAGGAGGAGACGTCGTTCCCATACAACTGGTAGCTGGAGAGCTAAGCTTCTCTAGCTACCGCAGTTAATCGAAATCGAGAGTCAATCAACTTGCAAAAAAAGACTATTTCCATAATCGCCCTTAACGTTACGTAAACGGTTCATAAAAGCAGACCAAAAAGCATCCATACTCACCATTAGTGTTTTTCGTTTCTGTTTTCTGGAGATTTGTTACATGCTGTCAAAGCGGCGCTCTAACTCTGACATTTCGGTCAATTTCCATTGGTTAGCTTCTTTTTTCTGTTGGTCTATTGGTCGATATAACTGTCAGTCATTTTTAACATAAAGGCTCCGCCCTTAAAATGCAGTTCGTGTGGACATTTACCATAGCAACCATCGTGAACATGAACCAAAAATGAATCCAACATGTAAAACTTATTTGTGGTTTTAAATGACGATCAAATCCTACATTCATTAAAAAGGCGAGTAATTCGGTCCATGAATAATCTTACTACTACTACTACTTTATAACTATATGCATACATATAAACAACTCTACTAGTTTTATACAATGCTACTGTTATTTTGTTATTCTATTAAATTATACTTTAAATTAAAATAAATAAACATCTAAACAGATTTTTTTTTATTACAACAGACCAAGTTGTGATCACGTGACTAAGACGTACACGCCTCCAGATTGTATCAGCGTCAGTCCAGATGACGCACTGTGGAACAGAGTGAAGATGGCTCCTTTTCCGGACGAGGTGGATGTTTTTACTGGTCCACACTGGCGAATGAAGCAGTTAGTGGGCCTGTACTGCGAGAAGGTATGTACGATGGAATAATAGCTTTATATGTCGACGTTTGCGAAAGCATCGTTGAAGCTGAACCCTTAAACGAGGCTCAAACACGGGCTAACATGCTAACTAGCTCACACGCACAGTGTTCTGCACTAGGCATAACTACAGAGGGTGTTTGCGTCGCTACTCCGTTAAAATGGTGTAATAACAGGGTGTTTGTCATGGCTAAGTACAAATTACTGAAGTGACAACACCGATTTGCGGCATCGAATGTGTTATCTTCTGAGTTGCAATATCGGTAGGGACCATTGGGTTCAGCAACTTGTGTGATTCTTATGTAACACAACAAATAATGCCCGAAATAGACATCAAGCAATTTTATCCAAGCTAAAATACTAGGCTTGTGACAGTTTTATTTATAAATGCTTTGCATTACTGGTTACAGGTTATGACAATGTAGGTGCTTGTTTTGCATAGAGATATACTTCAGATGCGGATGCAGTGTAAATTCGAATTGTTGTATTGTTTTTCTTAATACTGTATGTTGTTCCTTTTTTGTTTTCAGCTATCACAAACCAACTTCTCCAACAACAATGATTTCCGCTCTTTTCTCCAATCTCTTTGCGCCACCTTCAAGGAGTTCAAGATGCATGAACAAATAGAGAATGAGTACATAATCAACCTGCTTCAGCAGCGCTGTTGCACCGTGTACAATGTACACTCTGACAACAAACTCTCTGAGATGCTGTCGCTCTTTGAGAAAGGCCTGCACAATGTGAAGGTGAGATCAGAGTTTGTGATCCATTCATGTCAGCATACACTTATTACATATAAAGTGCCATTATCTGTTATTACTGATCTAAATGTATTATTTGATAATTCATCAAAGTTTAGCTATTGTTTAGTTGGTTGCTGGTTTAGCTATTGTTTAGTTACTGTTGAAAGTGGGATTTTCTCATGGACGTGAGCATGTGGAATTCTGCCAGTGCTCAATTTCTAGAGGGCAAAAGGCTGATCTAGAATGAAACAATTTTTCGAAAATAGCACAGTTTAATAAATATAAATAAATACATGTTTTCTCTCCAGAATGAATATGAGCAACTGAACTATGCCCAGCAACTGAAGGAGAGACTTGAAGCATTTACTCAAGACTTTCTTCCACACATGAAGGAAGAAGAAGAGGTAATTTTCTAATCCTTTTAAAACTTTGGGTTCAATAATTCAAGGTCATGTGTAACAGAATCTAATTATTGCAGGTCTTTCAGCCCATGCTCATGGAGCACTTCACATATGAGGAGCTCAAAGACATAAAGAAGCAGGTGATTGCTCAGCACTGCAGCCAGCAGCAGTGGGACAGCGCTGCAGAGGTGCTTAAGGGATTGAGTCTGTGGAGCCAAGCAGAGGAACTACACAAGGCCTTCAAATATTCTGATCATGAAAAGGCTGATTATGGTTTGTATTTGCATATCAGCATAAGCTTTGAAAAAGTCTGTTTCATATACCTATTTTTGTGTTAATCAAATCTTTAGTTAAAGTTAAGTTATGAATAACTAATCTTATCTTTTGCATTTCAGACCATTGTTTGTATCTTAAAAATTAGGCCAGTGTCATTGAGATTAGATATATTTACCTTTTTTTCAGTTCATGGTGCATATATTTGTCATGGTAAAGGAGCATAAGATTGGATAGTAGGCTGAAGTAGGCATTCAGAACATGTTTGATAAGGGAGAAACTACAGGGTGGTATTTATTTTTACACATAAGACTTTGACATAGAGAGATTCTTTTCAGAGAACATTATAACTTAAGAGCAACCTTTCGGATTTGCAAATTGTGACCAGGTTGCTGTTTTGACTCCATTGCAAACTGTGATAAATTTAGCATCCCTTTTGACTCTATATTTTGTATTTTCTCTCTGAAGTGGACAAAAATGGGAATGCTCAGACCCACATCTCCCAGCTTCCCACAGAGATCATGCTGAGGCTGTTCCACTATTTGGGCCCTGAGGATCTGTGCCGCTGCAGCCAGGTGTGTAGCTCCTGGTCAGAGCTGGTCAAGACGGGCTCACTGTGGAGGCACCTCTACCCTGTGCGCTGGGCCAGAGGTAAAACTATTCTGTCAATACTAGTTATTTTAAGATTCTATAAAGTAATGTAGTCACATTCTCTGAGCCAATATGTATGTATCGAATATTAAGAAATATTCAAAAAGAAAATTCACCAATGTTGAATCTGAAAATGTTTGTTGACAACTTAATTGCACAAAATTTATCCAAGCACACCACAGCACAGTTAGCAGCTCAGTAGTGATGACACTAAAAAGTGCCTTTTGCAGGTGACTACTACAACGGTCCACCTGGAGATCAGGACCAGGAGCCTGATGATGACTGGGTAAAGAGTCGCCAAAAAGAGGGTTTGGCCTACCAGGAGTGGGACGAGGACGCAGATGTGGATGAATCTGGTAAGACCAACAACAACAGCAATTGCTTGTTTTCAGCGCAGTCACAGAAATCATGGGTGGCATTGCCCAACCTTTTTGAGAATGTCTTTCATATCTCAAAAGCTAGGTATGGTATAGGTATGTTAAATTATTCTGAAATAACACGGTTGTGGATTGTTGTTTGTTTCAGATGTCTCTGGCCAGACAGACGGATATAAAGCCATCACTAATGCTCAGAGGGAAAAGAGGCTTTTGAATGGCCTCATTCACCACCTTTTACCTGCTGTGGGTGGTTCAGTCAAGTCTATTGTTTTGGCGTACAGCTCCACGGTCTCTAGTAAAATGGTATGAAATATTCTGCATAGTATTGCTGTTTGTATAACATTGGTGTTGTGGTACTACGTCAGTTATTTTATTTCCAGGTGCGTCAAATCCTCTCTCTCTGCCCAAATATATCTCATTTGGACCTGACACAGACAGACATCACTGATGCTGCATTTGACAGGTGATTTCAGACTCTTGTAATGCTTCATTATATCATGTATATCATATTAGTTTGTCATATGTACATCAAACATTACCAAAGCTTAACTGACCAAGCCATGCAAAAGTTGAATAAAGATTTTCAGGTAAGTCACCTGTTGTATCTTTCCTAAACAGTTTTTTGTCTGCTGCCTTGTTTTTTAGTTGGTCTTTTTATGGAGCCTGTCATTCTTTGGAGCACCTGGACTTGTCTGGCTGTGACAAAATCTCTGACTACACTCTGAAGAAACTGTCTGTGGGTTTGGGGAAGACCTCCTCCATCTCCGATAACTGTCCCGACCAACGAGCCAAGCTCCTCAAAGCTCCGCCTGTTCCCATCTCCCTCATGGACGAGAGGAGCCTGCACCAGGCCGTGAGAAGGCGTCAGGCGCTCATCTTTAAACAGAGGAGTGGCCCGTCTCAGGTGTGGGTGCTGGACTCCTCCCACTTGGCCGACATAGAGGACGCAGCAGAGTGGAGCCGCCTGTCTGTCCCTGAAGAGGACCACTTTGTTCAGACTCAGTTGGTGGCAGGTTCTTGCTGCTGCAGGAGGCGAGGGCTGAGGACTGGCCCTGTGTCGTATTTACACGCTCCGTTTGTGTCTTCGGAGGTGCTGTGTGGTCACTCTACCTGCTGCAGCAGTGACACGGCTCTCAGGACTTTTTCAGAGCCGCAGACTGAGTCCTGCAGAGGTAGCACGGACGACTTTCGGACTAAGTGCTCCACTTTGGGAGCCCGGCAGTGTCTGCAGGAGGAATACAGGACTGAGCACTCTAAACGCTTGCTGAGGTTTCTCAGCCTCTCTGGATGTTACCAAGTCACAGACTCCGGGCTCAGGTAAATGACACTTAAAGTAGAAACACGTTACTCAGGCATCAGGGATTAAGGCTTTATTGTGAGAGCTAATTTCTGTAGATGACTCATACAGATGCACCTTCCACACAGCAGTAATGCTGCACTAAAGCACAGATGGTGTAATCACATGGGTGTGGTTATTTGTACAAGCTTTTTGCCACGTAGTGGAAGAAACTCCTCCCTCCAACCTTTCTCACACATTCGGGCTCCTATTACATTTGAGTGTTGGAGTGCACTCTACTGTCCTTAAACGGCCCACACTGGTCCCATAGTTTGTGGAAGTGTACTGTGACTGCTCCTATCTCACCTGCCATTGTCTTGCAGAGCCCTGTCACAGCGCGGGGGGCTTCCTCTGCTGGAGCATCTGAACCTGTCTGGCTGCCTGTTCATCACTGAGGTGGGGCTGCAGGAGCTGGTGTCTGCTTGTCCTTCGCTGAAGGATGAGCACTTCTATTACTGCGACAATATTAACGGTAACATCTAATGGGAAACGTGCACAGCATATTAACTAATCTGATGAGAAGTGGACAGTTTGTCATGACAATGGTGCTCTTCACTGGAGACACTATTGGCTTTTATTTTAATGGTATAGATATGAAAGATTGTTGACATGCATTTAATATCAACCAAGCCCACACAGCAATGTCCTTGTGTAATGCTGAAGTACAAGGTAAGTAGCTTTATTGCAGC